TTCGTGGTCCGTTTGACCAATTAATATCATTTAATTAAGGTTTTTAGTTGAGATAAAAAAGTCAGTGTGACGAGTGGGGTTCGAACCCACGACCTTCGGCTTGATACGCCGCTACTCTACCACTTGAGCTATTTCACGATTTGAAGTCACGATAGCTCAAGTGGTAGAGTAGCGGCGTATCAAGCCGAAGGTCGTGGGTTCGAATCCCGCTCGTGACACTGGCTTTTTTATCTCAACTAAAAACCTTAATTAATTGAATTCTTATGACAGTTTAGTCATTAATCACATTCCATACAAATTATGTTATTTTTCATAAACTAGTAATTTGTACATGGCTTATGGGTGTCACTCTTCTCAATCCATTAACTTCACCAGCACATTCTGCACCCCAAACGGAAGAAAAAACACCTCATAAACCATGGTCCGAAACAACCCTTTCAAATTCAACATTTTTTTTCCCAACTACCTGCGGTTTTCGTCATTAATCTGTTTGAACTAGTGCTTTTTGGCGAAATCCAAAAGAAGCATTGAATTCTCCTAGAATTTTCAATTTAATTTTTCGTAAAAAACACAAAACCTTTGAAAAAGTGGTAAATTTAAAATTCGTAAAATAATTATTTTGTCTCCACTTTGAAAAAATCACGGTAGAGCTTGGTAAATTTCATAAAAACTTCTTCGTTTATTAAGCTTTCTGGCGGCAACACTTTTCTTTAATTACATCGGCCCGAAATGCAGGAATTTTATGGTAAGTGGAAAAAAAATTGGTGATGTTGTTAATCTAGTAATTCAACTTTTTGTCCTGCGCAAAATTTATTTCCCCAATTTTAAGTTTAAAAACACACACACACAAAAAAAGATAAACATAGCGAACAACCAAACCTAACTACACTACACACAGAAAAAATAGAAGAACAACACAGAAGTTTTAAAAACCAACTTTAACTTAATAAAAAAGCAGAAAAAAAGAAAACTACCGACAAACTAATTATACAAATAAGCAAAAAAAATCTTTGACATATGGAAAATCAACAATTAATTCAAATATTTGTGGGTTATAAAAAAATTTTGAAGTACATTTTAGGGCCAAAAAGTTATTATGTCATATAAATCACGATAAGCTGTGAGTGATAGTGGCAGAAAAGATTCAGACATTTTTCATTTGGAAACACTTTTGTTGAAGGCACAACAGAGAGAGAGAAAAAAAGAAAGGGATTGAGACAGATAGATAGATAGACTGTGAGAGAAGGAGTGAAACAGAGGGAGATGGAGAAGGAGGAAGAGAGAAGATAGGTAGATTGATCGACACAGAGAGAGAGAGAGAGAGAGAGAGAGAGAGAGAGAGAGAGAGAGAGGGAGGGAGGAAAATAGAAAGGAAATTGGTAGATAGAAAGAGATATAATATAGGAATTTAAAAAAGTTAGATAGATATATAAGAGAGAGAAAAATATATAAAGGAAAACAAAATAAGATTGATAGAGAGAGAACGAGTAACAGAGAGAGAGAGAGAGAGAGAGAGAGAGAGAGAGAGAGAGAGAGAGAGAGAGAGANATAGAAAGGAATATAGATAGATAGAAAGAGATATAATATAGGAATAAAAAAAGTTAGATAGATATATAACAGTGAGAAAAACATGTATAGGAAAAACAAAATAAGATTGGTAGAGAGAGAAAGAGTAACAGAGAAAAAGAGAGAGAGAGAGAGAGAGACAGAAAAGAGAAGAGACAAGAAGGAAGATATCCACACAAACGAGCACTCACACTCACGCACGAATGAGATGAAACAAGCACGCACGATAGATGGAGTAATAAATAGATAAATTGATAAAGAAAGAGGGAGAGAGCGAGAGACTGAGACATACAGGCAGCCAGACAAACAGGCAGACGGATGGACAGAAAGACAGACATACAGACAGAGAGAGAGGAGACAGGAAGAAAGATATACATACAAACATGCGCCCACACTCACGAATGATATAAAACCAATTCGCACGATAGATGGATAAATATATAGATAAATTGCTAGAGAGAAAGAGAGAGAGAGAGACTGAGACAGACAGACAGCCAGACAAACAGGCAGTCGGATGGGCAGAAATACAAACATACAGACAGAGAGAGAGGAGACAGGAAGAAAGATATACATACAAACATGCACTCAAACTCACGCACGAATGATAAAAAACAAACACCCACGATATATGGATAAATATATAGATAAATTGATGGAGAGAAAGAAAGAAAAGAGAGAGAGAGAGAAACAGAAAGGGACAAAGAAAGATCGATAGAGAGAGATACTAAAAGACAGGTGGTAACATACAAAAGAAAGACATATATAAGAGAGAGAAAGAGTGAGAGAAAGAAAGATAGGTACACAATTGCAATTCCTCAGAAAACACACGTGGAGTAAATGGGTAAATAAGGCAATAATAAAGCAATAAATTCAATTATATGTTTTTTTAAACAGGTTGATTTTTACTTGACTTTCTGATTTACTACTCGTGTTTTTTATCTGTGCGTGTCCGCACAAATCAAAAAATAACAAATAAACAGACGACAATAAAACAAATCAAGCTCGTTTTTAGTCTGTTTCTTAAAGTGAAATAGCATAACAATTTTTTATTGTCATTTGTAATATTGACCGACCTGGAAATGAACGTAAAATGTTTTATAATTGGATTCAATCTCACGCTATTGCCCCTAAAATGAATCTCAAGATATTTACCTATATGAATTATTAATACTATTATAAAACTGAGACGGTATTATTTTTTTTTAATAATTACACAACTAACAGATTTTAACATCGACTAGGCATTCGGTTTTTCTGTAAGGGAAGAAACTCTGTTTAAAAGGTTAGATTCCTCGATTGTTGGATGAAATATGGACGGGTATCGGGTGAAAGCCAAACAAACCTGATCTTTTCGCAGGATCTCGAGTTTATTTATTTTTAAAGTACGTCGACCCATCAACAGCAATGAAAATGCGTGCTATGTTGTTTCCGAGATTTAACTTTCTTTAACACCATTTAAACTTGGCCTGAAACATTTTTAGAAATCGTCACGTTTCTTGTCTAAAGTGGAGTAACAAAGTGTTAAATGTGCCCTTTGAATACATAAACTGCTTAAACTGAAGTAAACACACTCACACAAACACTTTTAAATCTTTTGACTTTTACAATCAACTGGTACATATCTCGAAACAAGTTTGTGTTGTTCTAGTGAATTTTTGTTTTTCTATACAGATCCGTTTATTTTCTATTTCATTCAAACGCATCTTCGCCTTTTTAGGATTCGTGGGAAATGTTACTCTAAGGGCGGAAATTTAAATTTTCGTACAGACGTAACACCCATCCGTTAAAAAAGAAACAAAAAAAGAGAAGGCCATTTCACGCGAACCGGGGTCTTTTAGAAAGTTGAAAGTCTTAAAAGCCCCTCTGGTGTCATTGTCGAGGACGGTAACACACTTTAAATTTACAAACGATCCTAGAACAGTTATCTAAGCCGGTGTCCTGAATAAAGAGAGCTTTAAACAATGCCGTTTTTAGACTTTTCTAAAAATACTCACATTTTCATACATTAGTTGCACAATGAAAATCTGTTTTTATTTTCTTGATTTTTAAAAAAACTTTATTATGTTTTAAAACTAAAATTTAAAACATTGAGATGAATTGCGCAAATATATTTTATTTTAAAAAAAGGAAAAAAATCCGTATCAATCGAACAAAATTCGGTTTTAGATGATTGGTAGAAAGGTCCAAGAGACGTAACTTTGCGAGATTAAATAAAGCGAAATCTCACTTTTTCTGCCTGTCCCAATCTTTTTTTTCTTCTCTGTTTTACCTTTCGTACACTACTTTTCCTTTTTTACTTATTTGTTTTTTTGTATGATCCACTCACTCATCCTCTCTCTCCCTCCCACTCTCGCCCTCTCCCCTCTCTCTCCTATCCTCTCTCTCTCTCTCTCTCTCTCTCTCTCTCTCTCTCTCTCTCTCTCTCTCTCTCTCTCTCTCTCTCTCTCTCTCTCTCAACCTCACCTCCGTTTTTTGCTCTGCATTTTTCTCCATCTTTCTATTTTGCTTTCTTTATCTCTGTACATCTCATTACCTCTCTATTTTTAACTGTCTTTCAATATCTACCTTTATCACTCTCTCTCTCTTTTTCTCTCTCTCTCTCTCTCTCTCTCTCTCTTTCTGACTCCGGTTTTTGCTGTGCATTTTTTTCTCCATCATTCTATTTTGCTTTCTTTATCAGTGTACATTACTTTTCTATTTTTAACTGTCTCTCACTATCTGTCTATCTTTCCCTCTTTCTCTCTCTCTCTCCCTGTCTCCATTTTTTGCTCTTCATTTTTTTCTGTAACTTTCTGTTTCGTTTCTTTATCTCTATATATCCCATTATCTCTAATGTTTTATTTTTTAACTGCCTCTCGTTATATCTCGCCTCTCTTTCTCTCTCTCTCTCTCTCTCTCTCTCTCTCTCTCCTTGGTTCGTAACTTTTCTCACACTCCCTTTTTATTTCTGTGCCTTTTCTACATTCATCAATCTATCAGTATGTAAATCTCTCTATCTCTACCTATCATGTAAAGTTTTTAAAATTTAAAAGTTCAAAAACCGAAATATCTATACGTAAAATTTAAGCACATGGTGAAATTCACGACAAAGATACTAGGTTTGCAAAGTCCCGTCTGCGAGTCGTTAAGCACAAAACCAAAACTTTTTAATAGGCCATTCTCGGTAAAAGAAGAAATGACTTTGCTTAGAGTACATATACACATAATAAACATAAAATTATGTAAAAATATCAACAATTTCCCTAATAGTCCTAAAAATCACTTTTTATCAAGTTACGATTGATGCTGAAAATTTGTTGCCTTAAAATTAGCTTCTTTTTTTATATATTATTATTCAGTGGCTAACATTTTTATTTCCACACTTATATTAACAATTTACAATTCATGTATTGAAAAAGTCTTTTTGTTCACTTGTTATATCAGTAATTTATTAATTGCTCAATTATTCTGTATGGTAGAAATTTCAATAGGCAATTTAATGTAAATACATATGAAATAAAGTTGTCATTATCTTCTCTCTGTCCATCTCATTTTTTGCTTCTTGTCCTTTCACCTCACTCTCTCTTTATTTCTCCATGTTTTGTACTCTCGTTTTTATATATTTTAAGACAGAATTCCACCCATTGGCAGATCAGGCAAAACAACTAGGCGAAAATAATTTGTACATATTTACTGTTGAAGTTATATTATATATATTTATAATTACTTAAGACTTACTGGGTCAGTCTACACTCGCCGGTCTACCTGTTGTTGCTCAGACACGTTTTGGCTACGCGCCATCATCATTGAGAGACTGTAGACGGTCTCGAGGACCGGTTCAACATGTTCACCGACTCTCAGACCAACGCCCTCATCAACTTTTTGCTGACACAATTTACTAAAACACAAACAATACGCTTATATTAGTGTTCTATTTTCGACAAAGAAAAAGCAAGATTTAAAATTTAATGCTTACAAATAATCAAACCTAATTATGTTAATTATGCTTGGGAGAATTCTAAATAAATTGTCAATGCCATAAGTTTGAAAAGTAAGTAAAAGGAAATAGAAAGAGAGCGAGAGAGAGAGAGTGATAGAGAGCGATAGGGGGGATAGTGAAAGTTCAATAGTTAAATACATAAAAAGATAGAGATAAAAAGAGAGAAGGAGAGAGAGAGAGAGATAGAAGGAATAGTGAAAGTACAATAATTAAATATATAGAAAGATAGAGAAAAAGAGAGAAAGAGAGAGAGAGAGCAGTAAAGGTACAATAGTTAAATAACTAGAAAGATAGAGAAAAAGAGAGAAAGAGAGAGAGAGAGAGAGAGAGAGAGAGTGAAAATACAATAGTTAAATAGATAAAAAGATAAAGAGAGAAAGAGGGATAGTGAAAGTACAATAGTTAAAGAGATAGAAAGATAAAGAGAGAGGGAGAGGGGGAGAGTGAAAGTACAATAGGTAAATAGATAAAAAGATAGAGATAAAGACAGAGAGAGAGAGAGAGAGAGAGAGAAAGAGAGGGATAAATAGTTATATAGATAAAAATATAGAAATACAGAGAGAGAAGGAGGGACAGTGAAAGTACAATAGTTAAATAGATAAAAAGATAGAGATAAAGACAGAGAGAGAAGGAGAGAGAGAGAGAGAGAGAGAGAGAGGGATAATGAAAGTACAATAGTTAAATATATAAAAAGATATAGATAAAGACGGGTACCACATAACTTTGTAGGTAAATCTGTATTTAAGTGAATATTTTACAATATTTGAAATAGGTACGTTAAAAAAAAATCGCCTTCTCCAGAGAGAATTTCTAGTGCTAATTTTGGTTTGTAAAGGCCGTTAAAAACAATGTGGTTTTCAATTGCTTTCTAAGGATGAAAGTGGCCGTATTGACCATCTCAGCGACCGCAGAATAAAAACAGAAGCATATCGATAATTTTCGAAACGGTGACCATTTATTCAGGAGCAAAATGCAAATTGTTTTTCTGTCAATTCACATTTCGCCTTTTCCCCATACATTTTTTCACCCCACTAACTTGAATTTTAATTAATGGAAAGCTGAACGAAGGGGCGAAATTGATCGAGGTTGACGTGCGTCCAGTAAAAGCGGATTTTGGTCAGTATTGAGATTAATATTAATGACTTAAGCGGATTAAACATTTATTTCTGGTCGAAACTTTTTTCTTCTTTTTTCGGTTTAATTCAATAAAAATACGCTTAACAATTGAGAACGCGGATGTGTGATATATCGGGCGTCTCTAGGCGTTGGTACTTTCAGGCACGTACCTCATTGTGGCCGGCACTTCTGAGGAGGTCAGTTGCATATTCCTTTCCGTCTTGCGAGAAAAAAACACTACGTGAATAGAATCCTTGAGAAAAACGGTCGTCTTTTCTAATAATATATCCTCGCTTTTCATCCTCTCAATGATATAACCACGTTTAGCAATTTATTACGATTTGCTACCCACAGACTGGCGGATCGTGACGAATTTTGTTTATATTAAACGTTTGTTACTTGAAATATTTTTATACAAGGTATCACAAACTTTGCCAGTGAATTTCACACCTCCGGAGTGACGAAAAGTCTGAACCATGGTCCTTATATCAACCCTTTCGCAAATATTCAGCATTTTATGTTTTTCTTTTTTTTTCATTTATCATCGGTTTTTGTCATAAATCGTAGCTCTTCAAATATTCNCAACGTGATTTTTTTTTGTTTTACAATTTCTGCAAGTTATAACTATCGTCTCTTTTTTATGTGTTTTTTGCGTTCAATTTTTTTTGTTTGTTCTTTTTTATTAGGTTAAACAACTCCTGTTTTGTTGTTCTTTTTTGTTTGTGGTTGGTGTACATATTTTGTTCATTTTTTTATTCGGTTGTTCTCTTTTTTATGCGTTTTGTTTCATTTTTCTTTCATTAAGTTAAAGTTGAGAAATAAATGTAGCCCAGGACAAAAGTGGAATTACTAGATTGTCATTACTAGAATTACTAGATTACTACATTGCCCCTTTTTCCCACCTTCACCACTTTTTTCCCATTTGGCATACAATTTCTACACTTTGGTACGATGTAATGAAAGAAAAAGAAGAAATTTTTTTGAAATTGATTTCAAATTTAGTTTTTTCCAAATTTTAAATTTATCTGTTTTTAAAAGATTTACCGTTTGTTTTTTCCCAAAAATTAAATGTTTTTAGTTTTTCAAGGAGGCCTTCTTAAAGGAAATTAAAGTAGATTTTAACGACTTCCTCGGATTTTTTTTTTTTGTTGTAACAATTGTAGTTTCCGGATTGCTATTGTTTTTCTGAAGTAAAGTCATTAAATCCTGAGAAAAAAACTAAAAAGTGAAATTTCTCCCTTACAGTTGATGATCGGACCATTGCACAGGGGGAATATTTTTGTCCCTCAGGAGGTGTGAAATTCACTGCCAAAGTTTGTGACGCGAGTAGCCTGATACCCTGAATATATATCATATTATATTACCTATCTAATATAATGATATATTATCAAAAATAAAATTTTGTCTTCTATGTGAATATTGATCGCTGGGCCTAGATCTCTCTGTCTGTCTGTCTCCTCTCTCTCCCTCTGTCACTCACCCTCTCTCTCTCTCTCTCTCTCACTCTTTCTCTCTCTCTCTCTCTCTCTCTCTCTCTCTTTCTCTCTTCCTCTCTTCTATCTATGTATGTATCTTTCTATCTATCTCTATCCATATATCTATGCATCTATCAATCTATCTCTATCTCTATCTATCGATCTATCTATGTATCCATCAATCTATCTCTATCTTTATCTATGTATCTATATATCTCCTATCTATCTATCTATGTATCCATCAATCTAACTCTATCTCTATCTATCTATCTCCTATCTATCTATGTATCCATCAATCTAACTCTATATCTATCTATCGATCTATCTATCTACGTATCCATCAATCTATCTCTATCTCTATCTATCTCTATCCATATATCTATGCATCTATCAATCTATCTCTATCTCTATCTATCGATCTATCTATGTATCTCTATCTTTATCTATGTATCTATATATCTCCTATCTATCTATCTATGTATCCATCAATCTAACTCTATCTCTATCTATCTATCTCCTATCTATCTATGTATCCATCAATCTAACTCTATATCCATCTATCGATCTATCTATCTACGTATCCATCAATGTATATCTATCTATGTATATATATATATGTCTATCTATCTCTCACTTTCTCTTTCTCTCTCAGATGAAAAATTCTAATAATTGTCTAATTACCACCAAAACGAGCCAAACCCACTTGGCGATGACCAGGCAGAATAAAAATCAAATAATGTTTATTTTTTAATAATAATAAGTTGAAAAAATTAAAATCATTCTTTACACTTTGGACAAATAGAATTTGCGATTTTAAACCTCCTACTTTCGAGCAATTATGTAGGTCCAATGAAATGGACCAAATAAATTCGTTTTCAAGCAATGTATAACAAATTCCTTTAGAAAAAATAACGTAAACAAATATACAAAATTTATGCAATAACTTACGGCCTTGTTTATGATGTACAATTCAATTCTTATTTATCCGACGTCTATCAGCAATTACAAAAGCGGTAGAGAAAAATCCGTTTAAAACAAGATTTAAAATGTTTCGAAAATTTTCCCGGCCAATTATGAAACAATAAATTATGTATTGAACCTAAAAGTAACGTTACGTACAAAACGTAGACATAGTTATGCTCGTGTCGCTTGACCAATACTGATGACATCTTTAATATTTTTATCACGTCTCACTTGGTTGCCAAACCGGAACACCCAGTTGTTATATTATGAATTATATTTGCACTTTTTACAAAAAAAAGAAGCCTCGGGAGCCTGGGGGATTATATGTAGGAAATAATTTTTTAAATAAGCCTTGACAAGAAATTTTGAAATCATGCTTGGTCGAAAAATGTATTTTTGGTATTAAAGGTTTATTATTGAATTGGGACTATTTCCTACCAAAAAACTTTGGTTTCTTTTCTCGTTTAAAGTCAAACGGAATTATTGTATAAATCCTCAGTGACGGATCAAATCCTCTTGGACTCCTTTTCGGTTCTTCGAACCATAGAATGAAATCACCGTCAATTCCAATTCGGACAGGTCGAATAAATTTCACCGGGGCGTTATTTCCAAAAATTGCTGGGCGGGCGAGTGGGTAGGGCGGGAAGACGGCGGTTAGAAAGTGAACTGGAATCCTGGAGATCCTTGTGGACATCAAATCCAAGTGGTCTCCGACAGTACCCGGACCTCCTCCGTCCGACCGTGGAAACGATTTTTAGCTCTCGAGAGGAATTCACATCACGAGGCAGACTCTTCTATGGGAATGATATGCGCTTTCTGAAGATGGAAAACTGCACTATAAAAGTGGTACGTCCGATCCGCAAATTTTTTAAATTCAATGCTAAGTTCGAGTTGGACTTCTTTCTTGAACATTTAATCTAATAATTCGCCTTTTTAAACAATTACAATAATTACTAATTTCGTGGTCCGCTTGACCAATTAATATATTACAATTAATTAAGGTTTTTAGTTGAAAAATGGCAAAAAGGAGGGAAAATGCAAAAAAGGTGCGGTTGAGATGGGAAGTTGGTCCGAGTAGATCAAGAGTTCACGATAGCTCAAGTGGTAGAGCAGCGGTGTATCAAGCCGAAGATCGTGGGTTCGAATCCCGCTGGTGCCATTGATTTTTTTATCTCAACTAAAAACCTTAATTAATTGTAATTACAATAATATCGAGTAATGAGGCTCAGACTGAGGGGAGTTTGGTCCAAAAGCTTTCTTAAGAAAATAAACATTAGTAGAAGAGTCCAAATAACTGGACAATTTGTTCTCGATATTCTTCGGAGTAATTGGGAGTAAGCCTATATTCACGCTAATAAATTACATTCGCACGTCGGACAAGTCCGACCAAGGTTTATACTCCAGAGTACTCGATATTCCTCGCAGTAATTAGGACTGAGCCATTCTATTCACGCTAATAAATTACTTCACTTGCCGGATTTGGTTTAAACTACCCAAGAGAACTAGATTTTCATCGGAGTAATTGCGAATGAGCCACTCCATTTGCGCTAATAAATTACATTCACTTGCCGGACTTAATTTAAATTATCCAAAAGTACTAGATTTTCTTGGCAGTAATCGCAAATGAGCCACTCCATTCGGGCTAATAAAATTCGGGAAAAATAAAGGCGTATTGACAAAACAAACACCACCTTCATGCCTTAAAATATACAATAATATTATTGTGACGTAAAAAACATGTCTCAAAAAATTATTATTAACCACTCGAAAAGCTGTAGCGTATAATATGATATAAACACATATAAATGCGTAATAAAGTACAAAATAAATATTTCTTATGCATACATAAATATTTAATCGAAATAAATAAGGTGGGAAGTTTCATATGGTGAGCTTTCTTTCGACTGGTTTCAACAAACGCGGAAACCTAAACCTGATTTCAGCTTTTCTGACTCAGAAACGGTGACATTTGACATTAGGATATTCTATTTAAATTGGAACAATTTCGCTTTTCTTCTAAACCGACCAAAAACAATTTATTTGAAATTTAACGATAAACCTGTTATACAAATAACTGGACAATTTGTTCTCGATATACTTCGGAGCAATTTAGAGTAAGCCATCCACGCTAATAAATTACATTCACTTGCCGGACTTGGTTTAAACTACCCAAGAGTACTAGATTTTCATCGGGGTAAATGCGAATTAACCACTCCATTCGCGCTAATAAATTACTTTTACACATTCATTCATAATACCTTGGAAGGCACGATATTCCTCGGAGTAATTGGGAATGAGCCAATCTATTCACGCTAATAAATTACATTCGCTTGCCGGACTTGGTTTGAACTATCCCAGAGTACTAGATATTCATCGGAGTCATTTCGAATAGCCATTTCATTCGCGCTAATAAATTACTTTCACACATTCATTCACACTACTCTAAAGTACTCGATATTCTTCGGAGTAATTGGGAATAAGCCACTCTATTGACGCTAATAAATTGCATTCGCAGTCGGATTTCGTTTAGACTTCTCCAGTCTCGATATTCCTCGGAGAATTTGGGAATGAGCCACTCCATTCGCGCTAATAAATTACTTCCCCGCATTCATTCGCAAAACCCCAGAGTACTAGATTTTTATCGGAGTAATTGCGAATGAGCCATTTCATTCGCACTAATAAATTACTTTCACACATTCATTCACACTACTCTAGGGTCCTCGATATTCTTCGGAGTAATTGGGAATAAGCCACTCTATTCACGCTAATAAATTACATTCACTTGCCGGACTTGGTTTAAACTACCCCAGAGTACTAGATATTCATCGGAGTAATTGCAAATGAGCCATTTCATTCAAGCCAATAAACTACTTTTACCCATTTATTCCAATACCCCGGAGGACTCGATAATCCTCGGAGTAATTAAGAATGAGCCACTCTATTATCGCTAATAAATTACATTTGCACGTCAAACTTCGTTTGTACTGCTCCAAAGTACTCCATATTCCTCGGAGTGATCGGGAATGAACCACTCCATTCACGCTAATAAATTCATTTGCCCGCCGGACTTGGTTTAACTTACCCCGGAATACTTCATATCCCCGGCTTAAGTGTGGATAAGCCCCTTCATTCACACTTGCCCAGAGTGCATTCTACATATTCTTCGAGTTAATTATGGATAAGCCCCTTCATTCACGCTAATAAATTACAACCACACAAATTTATAAATAATTAAGTGATTTGACCTTAAAAGGTTCAGTTTTAGATTATAAATTTTGACGAGATTATTTTATAAATGACATAGAGAAAGTGCCAACTGGTTTACATATCCATTACTATAATCATAATAATAAAATCAACATAATAAACACATACACACATAGTAATGTATGTAAAAACCCAGAAATGTTGGTTTTAATGGGCAATCTTACATAAAAGTATCTTGTTGAAATACATTTGGTAATTTATTTGTACTTGAGAGGTTGTATTTGTTTTCTATTCCCGGAAATGAGACGAGCTAGGCACAAAAACCGTTTTGTTACGCCCTCGTTAAATTTGAACATGTCATCAATTTAGCCGTAAAATTCGCCTTTCTCTTTTCATACGTTTTGTAATATTTCTGTTTTTTAAACTTTCTCGTCTCTTCGAGACTACGAGGCGACCTGGTGTAGAAAACAGCCTTTAAAGGCTAGACAAAAGGTTTGGACATTGTTTCTCTCTTGACAATGTAAATTCGATTCAATGAAAATTTTAATAACAACTAGAGTTTTCGTATGGAACTTTTACGTGAAACAATACCAAACTAAATAACCAGTCCAAAAATTAAAAACTTCATGTAACACACACACACACACTCTCTCTCTCTCTCTCTCTCTCTCTCTCTCTCTCTCTCTCTCTCGCTCTTTCCCTTCTATCGATCCATCCATCCAATCTTTCTCTCACTTACTCAATCTCCCTCTCACTCTCCATATATATATATATATAAATCTTTCTCTCACTTATTCAATCTCCCTCTCACTTACTCTCTCTCTTTTGCTCTCAATCTATTTATCTCTATATCTCACTCTTCAGTCTCTCTTTTTCTTTCTTTCTTTATACCTGTCTTCTCTCTTTTCTTTCTCCTTCTTTTTTTGTCTTTCACTCCCTTTCTCTTCTCTTTTTCTATTCTCCTGTCTCTCTCTTCTCTTTCTCTTGTTCTCTATCTTATTTCTCTCTTGCTTTTTTATCTTTTCCACATGCTTTATTATTTATTTGTCTTTCTGTACTGAACTATTTTTCTACATCTACCAATCTCTGCACCTTTGTCAGGCTAATTATCTATCTATTCATCCCTCACGCTTTTTTTGCCCCCTGTCTCCGTTCTTTACTCCGCCTTTTTTCACTTTTCCTTCTTTCCGTTTTACGTTCTTTATCTCTCTATTTAACTATCTTTTATTATCTATCTGTCTATACTTCTATCTATATATATCAATCTATCTATCTTTATTTCTTTCTGTCTCTCCTCTTTCCATATATTTTTTCTTTCTATTTCTCTCTCTCTCCCTCTCTCACACACACAAACACACGTCTTCACTTTTACCACACTCTTTTTTTTTAATTTATTTGTTTTGCTATATTGATCTATCTATCTATCTCTAAAAATGTTGTATCTTTGTCATCCTATCTATTTATTCATCTCTCACTCTTATTTTTTCCGCTCTCCCTCCTTTTTTTACTTTGCCTTTGTTCTGTTTTTTCTTTCTTTTTTTATTTTTGTTTTAATTTCTTTTCTTTACCTTTTATTATTTCTCGATTTAACTAACTAATCATTATCTTCCATCCGTATTTATCTTTCTCCCTCCCTTTATTCTTCTTTTTCTTTGTCTCTGTCTGTTTGTCTGTCTGTCTGTCTGTCTGTCTGTCTCACTCTCTCTCTCTCGCTCTCTCTCTCTCTCTCACACACACACACACCATGTATGTATAACAAATTAATAAGTATTATTCTCTCAATCAACTTTAATCAAACACTATACAAGTTGGAATCTGAAAGCTAAGCTAATAAGCTTAATATATCGTAAATCTGTGGGGAAAACAAGTAATTTTGACTTAATCGGTGAATGGAACTATTATTAAAACGATTATCACGGCATGTTTTTGTAATACCATAAAACCTATGCTAAGTGGTGATTTGTCGTAATTGCACACTTTACTTAAGATGTAAAATGCTCAAAATTACTTCACGAACATAGGTAAACAAGTAAGATTTCCTTTCATATCATTATTTAATTTTAATAACTATTTAAAGTCACTTTCTTTTTTCTTGATATCGGCTGACAGTTGATATCGCCCCTTGGCGGCAGTTGAAAGAGGTGAAATTTGGTCGGGCTAATTATTTAAAATAAAAATTTCGGTCATTTTGCTTTTACTCCCTCCCCCCTTGAAGATATCCCGGGCAGATGGTATTTTTTAATTGATTGCAGAGAAAGGGAGCCTCAGGAAGGGCAAAAATTGGAGAGAGACTCGCCACTTAGGATTGAGGCTGGTCAAAACCGGTTCTTTGCTCCGCGAGTCCAGAGCGAAAGTTGATCTCTCCAATATCAGACATGATGTAGATCAAGAGAAACACTAACCTAAGCTAAATAACCTAATTCTTTCTACGGGTATTTAAAAACTTTCATAAAAGGAAAAGAAAAAAAAAGCCCGTCGTCCAGTGTGACACTTGACCAATTAAAGGTAATAACTGGGAAGGGGGCAAGCGGGGCGGGGCCGGCTCGCCCTTTAATTTACTTCTCCAAGGAAGGAAACGACTTCTTCCTAGATGAAAAGTGATAGCTATGAGACTATCGGAAGATAGGAGAAGGGTGTTA